AAGATTTTAACAACTCTGAGCTATTAGTTAAGTTCTCCCCAAGCGAGCTCGATGGGCCGAATGGCCTCCTCTCGTTTGTATAGTTCTTATGTAAAACAAAACAGTGATATCGTGCTGAAAAGCTGTGAATACTCTTTTTTTTTTTTTAAAGTAAAAAAAATGATTAAGCATTTTGATAAAAACTTTTGTTTTTTTATCCCAGGGTTGCCAACTCGCACGCATCTGGTGTGACACGCTTTCTGACTCTCGCATTCATGCAAGAAATCATACGGCAAATCTATATTCTTCCATTGTAAGACTAAGATTAGCGCAAGATTAGCGCATTAGATGCTGGTTTAACCAAAGAGGTAAGGAGGAACCAATCTGGGAGCCAGCCAGTGTGTGATGGGTCTCTGCAGGGGCTGCAGATGGGTATGGAGCTGAGCAAAAGACTCTGGGTACATTTAAGGTAGGCGGGAGAAAACATTCAGTTGGGTTAAGTACCATCCGTAATTTGCTTATAGTGTTTGCGCGAGCGTGTGTGTATGTTTGTCTACGTGGTCATGTACATATTAGATTGTAGGGAACAATATTCAAACAATGTGATAAATAGCTGCGCAGTGATTAGCGCTGCTGCCTCACAGCAAGAAGGTCCTGGGTTTGGTCCCGGCTCCTTTCTGTGTGGAGATCACACGCTCTCCCTGTATCCGCCAGGGGCTTCAGATTCCTCCCATGGTCCAAAAACATGCAGGATAGGTTAATTGGTGAGTGTGTGCACCCTGCAGTGTGTTGGCACCTGCCTGCACCCATTGTTCCCAGGATGGGCTTCAGTCCCCCCCATGACCCCAGTTGGGATTAAGCAGTTTCAGAAAATGGACGGATGATAAATAGCTGTTGTTTTGACCTTGGTGGGACATTTTTGGTCCCCACAAAAGGAAACTCAATTTTTAAAAACCTATAAATGCAATCAAAATGCTAAAAATGACAAAAGCCTTGTATTTGATTTGGTTACTTTCATCCATCCATCCATCCGTCTTCTTGCGGGTCGGGTCGCGTTGGCAGCAGTCTAAGCATAGAAACCCGGACTTCCCTCTCCCTGGCCACTTCAGTTTGGTTACTAATGGTTATAATTAGGGCTGGTTAGGGGTAATATTGTTATAGTTGGGATTAGGGTTACGTCCACAGAACGTAATAGACAGACCTGGCTGCTGGCATTTGTTCACGTCGTTTTGATTTAAGTCGAAAGTGTGTTTTAAACAGATATGCTGCACACGTTTTTCTCATCCAGTTTCTCTGGAAAAAAACATTAAAGGCAAAACAGTAACACTGCATTTAGAATGGTAATGTAAGCATTGCCATTCTATTTATAGTTTAATTAATATGGGAAAGCCTTGCAAGTAATGAGGGGAACAAAATTGAGTTAGTTGTTGTTACACAAAGGTTTTTGGGGGGAGAGAGAACGTAGCGAAGTGAGTGACAGAGTAGCCTGGTTGTAAATACGTTTAAATTTATTAATAGGAGGGTAGAGAAAATAAAACCATTTGATTGTGCACATCCCCCTATTTCTGAGACCGCTGGTTGTGCCACCTTTAGCAGAAAAAACTGCAATGAAACACTTGCTGTAAGAGGAGATCCCCACAGCATCCCAGTAATTCCCCATGTCTGACTGTGGCCATGATGGTCCTTGTGTGGAAGCTGTGTTAGCTTTACGCCAGATGAAGCAGGACCCATGTCTTCCAAATTTTGACTCATCAATCCACAGATCATCTTCCCACAAGTGTTGGAGGTAATCAAGGTGCTTTTTGGCAAATGTTAGATGTTCCTCTAAGCTCTGGTTTCTGCCTTGCATCTCTCCCATGGACACATTTTTGTCCAGTGTCTTTATAAACATGGAATCATGACCTCAGACATTAGCTGATGTGTGAGAGGCCTGTCATTCCATAGATGTTCATTTGGGATCTGCTGCAGCTTCCCTGGTGAGTTGTCTATATGTGGATTAGCTTTGCCAGCCTGGTCACGCCTGGCAGATTTGCTACCATTACAATTTTTTCCCATTTGGAGATGATGCGTCTCACGGTGGTGTGCTGGAGTCTAAGGGTTTTAGGGGTTTGTATCCCTTTTCCGAATAATGTGTTAATTAAAGGCTCCTTTAAAAATAGTGTGCTGTGCTAATTCATATTGTCCTTTGTACACTCAGTGACAAATAAAGGTAAGCACCCAGAAGTAATGGTCCAATTTTGATGTAATTTGGTACATGTGCAGACCAGCGATGGTTATGTAAATGATTCAATTTGCAAGGAGCTGGAACGTCTAGTCACCAGTCACAGAGGATGCCTCATAAACACATTAGACGGCATTACCAGCACATGAGGGAGTTTGATAGGGGTCCCATTGTGGGTTTGCATGAGGCTGGGTGGTCGTATTGAGCAATTACCTGGCATGTGGGGCATGCAGATGTCACAGTCACCCGATGTTGGCACCAATGGGCACGTGAGGACACCCACACACGTCGTGAAGGTTCCAGTTGCTCAAGACAGACCACACCATGGAAGATGAGTCTCCGCCAGGGTTCCATGTGTGTGGAGTTTGCATGTTCTCCCCTTGTTGTCGTGGGGTTTCCTCCAGCTACTCCAGTTTCCCCACACACAGGCTAGCTGGAGCTGCCACATTGCCGTGGGGGTGTGAATGGTGTGTTAGTGTGCCCTGTTATGGGTTATTCCCTCCCTTGCACCTGTAGCTTCTGGGACAGGCTCCAGACCCCCTGTGACCCTGAATAGGATAAGCGGCTTCAGAAGATTGATGGATGGTAATGTCTGCCATGTGTTAGTTATAGTGTTAGAAATAAATGGATGCCTTTCATACATTTTGAATCTCTTGCTGATTGATTGCCTTGTAATTAAGCCACTTCACTGGTGCGAACTTCCCTAAGCTTTTAAAAATCCCAAATTTGTCCTAAAGTATCGTGAGACTATATTTATGGCCATGAGCAGAGTTTTACTACAGAGTTGCTACAGACCTGGTGAGAATTACGTTCACGGGACGAGCCCATAACCCAGGTGAAGTAGTTGTGCTGTAATTAATTAATTGCAGCAACATCCTGGAACTAAATCTTCTAGTAACTAACTAATTGAGACTTACATAATATTGTCTGTTGGATAAATGAACATTCAAATACAATAATTAATAAATAATTAATATTA